CCCCCCCCCCACTCCCACCCAGCCTCCACTCCCTGGAGAACGACTGTCAGACGCTCTTTCTCCTAAGCTGTAGATAAGGAAGGCAGGCTCCTCTAATGTGACAGTCCATAACAACAGCGGGCTGTCAAGCCAATAAACCACTCTTTGTTGCCATAAGGACAATGACTCGAGTGCTTCTTCTTTTGCTAACGGCTTTTGTCAGTTCTAGTTGATGATATTTTCATAATGAACAAGCGATGTAATGTATTCTGGAATACCAAGTTAGAGAAAAAGTGCTGCTAAATTATGCCCGATGACTTTTTAGCCATCAAGCCACAACTCAATGGAGGCGGTGTAATGTTTTTTTACTCCGTAGAGTTCGAAATGGATAATAAATACAAGAGTAGTTCTGTACATGGCAGGATACCGCTCCATTAGAGTGAGTCCAATCCTCTGAGTCAATAGGCAAGACAAGGTTGATTATCATTGAATGAGATCGGTTGAAGCTTAGGTCTCCTATGCACCAGCTAATTAGAGACCCGAGTAGAAATGCAGCCGATCAATCGGCCGTCTATCGAAACCGGTTGGTTTTCAGCCAATCAGCCATGACTGGTGACTGGCCGATCAGTCTCCCATTTATAATAATTAAAACACTGAAGTCATAATAAATCTGTCTGCTGATTGTGAAGTCTGTTCAGGAGGTAATGTTATAATTGACTCATATGTGCGTTAGCACAGGTAATTTCCCTGATTAAACGGTCAAAAGCTGTTCAAACTGCTGTGCTTTTATACGACGGTGTGCTTAGTCAGTTCATTAAGTCCAGTAAAAGGTGATCTCACAGTAATACGTTTAGTCATTATTCATAACGTGGTTGATTTGCAGTCTAATAATTCTAATAATGCATAATCAGTGATTTCTCTGTGAGCTCTTTGTAACACCAAAGAACATACATATACACATCAGAAGTATTAAAGTGCTGCACCAGAGTTTAGATTCACCCGTGTGGGCCAAAAACGTCTGATCAACGAGTCGGTCTGTATGACTCTGTGTTTACTCCTCTTGGTCCGTTTGTAAAAAGTCGGTGTGAACCGGACCAGAACTAAAATGCCACAATGTATCATGTGTTCCTCTTGATCTCAAACAAATGAACCAAACTACATCAAGTTGTTTATTAAGCAAAATATGATGCAAAATACTTCTGACATTTTTCTAGCCAAACGATTCATCTGTTAGCTGTTCAAATGAGTCTTAAGGCAGATGTAGTTGACTTGAGTTTTATCATATTCAGTGACTACCAGATGAGTCGTGGAGCACGACATATTTCTGTGTGTTGGTGTAGATAAAAGCCTGTGTCTCAGTCAGTTGATAATGATGCAGCTTGTTATCTCCCATGGTCCTCCTGTTTGTTATGCTATCTCCTTCTGAAACATTTTTGCCCTCTTGGCTCCTTTCATGCTTCCTCTCGTCTCCTGTGACTCACCTACCACTGCTTATGTCCAGGGATGCGTCAAAAGATTTTAATTGATTAATCCGCCAATTATTTTCTTGATTAGTTGATTGGTCCACAAGGAAAAATGCCTCCCAATAATTTCCCAGTGTGTCTTCAAATTTTATTTTTTCAACTAATAGTCCAAAACCCAAAGATATACATTTTACAATAAAGAAACTAGAACCATCAAATGTTTGTCTTTTTTGTTTGAAAAAGAAAAAACAAAAAACAAAACATCGCTCTACTGGTGTCACATCCCTCCCACCCTTTATTTTACTCTCCCTCTCTCCCTCAGGTATACCCAGGGTTAATGGTGACCGCCGGCCTCATCCACTACATGCTCAACCTGCTCCACATCACCGTCCACATCCGCGACGTGTGCGTCTTTCTGGCGCCGGTGTTCAGCGGCCTGACGGCCATCTCCACCTTCCTGCTGACGCGGGAGCTGTGGAACCAGGGTGCAGGTCTGCTGGCGGCCTGCTTCATCGCCATCGTCCCGGGCTACATCTCGCGCTCCGTCGCCGGATCCTTCGACAACGAGGGCATCGCCATCTTCGCCCTGCAGTTCACCTACTACCTCTGGGTATGTACACCGGTCACGGGATGGAAGGGGGCAATAAGGAAGAGTGTACATGGAAATGTTATAAAGGCAAATGTTGTATGTACGCCTCTGATGTTGTTTTTCATGGTCAGTTTGACTTCCTCCTTTGTTGGGAATCAGAATAAAACCTAAACCGGTGCTCCGTCAGCTTTTAAATCTATTTTGGCTGAAAAATATATATAATGTCTCCCCTAACAGTGAAGACTCAGTTTGTTCATTTTCCGAGGATGTGCTTTATGTAGTCAGAAATGAAGCCCGATTTTCAATCTTACTTGGCCTCAGATGGTGAATTATTTATCCAGAGGCTTGAAAGGCACACTGGGCATCTGTGCAGACCACATGGAACCCAGGAAACGGCACGCTGCGCTCTAAAACCATCACAATAAGATGACCTTTAAGAGACGGAATTGAAACTCTCGGGTTAAAGGTTGAATAGCCCCCCCCCCCCTCACACTTTACCTTCCTTTTTGGGAAATGCACAGAGTAGACACAGCGGGTTCACCTGTGTGCCAACAGGGAAGCTGACCTCGTTGAATCGGCACCATCACTGTTCTCAACAAGGTCAGGTTTGTTTTGTATGTGACAAAACATATTTTCCCTCCTGTTGTTTTTTTTTTTTTTCAAACTGAATTTGACCCGGTTATCCTTGTTCAGCGAGGTAGACCTTGACGGAATGAAAGAAATTGCACGCATGAGTAGAACGTGTTATTTTTCAACACAGCTTGGATGTTTGCAGGAACCACCGTGCAAACATTTTTTTTGAAATGGTCTGCACATTGGGGAGAAGTAAAGGGCTTTTCAAGCTGGAAGAGGTATGAAATACTTCTCACTGTGTCCTCTCTTTTCAGTTGCATCAGCAGCTGCCTTACAGCCCCTCAGCTATCTTCCTATGAATGCCTCGTGTGTGTGTGTGTGTGTGTGTGTGGGGGGGGGGATCTTTTTTCATTATTGGAGTTGACCTTGACAAGTATTGAGGAGTTTTTCATTTTGTATTGAGCTGTGCCTGTTCAGTGATGCATACTTTATTTATTTTCTTCAACTTTTAAACTCCAATAAGAATGACTTATGTGAAAAGGAATCTTGAGATGGAAAGCATTTGCAGATAACCAGTTTAAATGGGAGTATTCAGACTTTCTTTCTATTAAACCAAGTTTCTCCTCGCATCAAAGAGGTCGACATCGGCATCGCAATACCTAAACGGTGCCGTAACTGTTCCACCTGACACAAGATGCCACACTTCTAGTCGGTGCATGAAGTAACATTTAAGAGTGACTTTGAAGATTGAAAGTTTTTTTGGAGAGTTTGGATTGAATGTAGTGGTCGTTGGTTTGCAGCAGCATCGTAGTGAACGAGGAGTCTCGTAAACCTGAATGAAGGAATTCAGGTCTGTGGGTGCCACGCAAGTTGCCACTCTGCAGGCCAGCATTAGTGGCTTGAACGTCACGCGATTGATTGATTGAATGAATAAATATGGGCAGCACATGATGCCGTAAAGGTTAAAAGCTGCTGACGTTGGAGCCGATCGCTGGAGGAAAACTCTAAATGCGCGGTCATCACTGCCAATCATTTAAGCACGGTGGGCATATTTCTTGTTTATACAATATCCTGTCATCCCATGGAGTCTATAAAATGATTTTCAATTAACAAAATTGCCCCGTGTTCCTGTAGACTGCAAGCGAGAGAGTATAAAAGGAAGTGGTTACAGTGGAGCAATTATAGTCATCACTCTGAAAGAATGTCACACCTGCACCGCTAACATGCGCAGGAGCAGGTGTCAAATGAATACGGACGTTTGAAGGGAATCCAAATTTAATATTGTCAGATTTATCAATGCAAACGATTGAATAGACTGTAATGAAGTGATCTGCAATTAGCAAGCCGCCTTCACCTGCAAGGCCATCTTCCAAACATGCAGCAGTGAAAGAGCGTTATATCATCGGAGCTAATTCATCCTCAACCGAGCGCTGCAGGAACCAGTCTGGGGACGAGTTCACATTTTTGCACTTCTGGTTCCCTCATCTCGAAATCAATGTGTGTTTGGTAAGATGCCTGAGAAAGGTCTGTGGTTGAAGAGAGCTGAAGATATTTTAGCATTTAGTTCCACGATATGAAATGTCAGTTTTGAAAGTACAGTTTTGACTAGTCCGCCTTCACACCCTCTTTGTGCATATGTGACCATGGTGTAGTTTGTTAGCTTTTTTCTTCTGCCTTTGACATCATTTGTCTAGATTATCTTGCTGAACAAATCGTCCAAGTATCATGAACTTTTGTTTGCCACAGAGCTTATTCTGTGCAGTAATCCAGAATCCAATGGCCTTTTGTCAAGGGAACCGGTGCAATGCTAACACCCGCATCATCCCTGCAGCACTGTATGCTTGGCTGTTAACTTAAGCTGCTGTAGTTAACACTGTCAACGGCCATATTTATCTATGACTTTAAACAATACATTAGACAAATATGAAGAACAGGAATTACCAGAGAAATTCAGCCACTCAGACTGACGGTCACCTATTGCTTTCATTGGTTCATTCTTTTCTAAAGCTTCTTTGTGTCTCCTTCTTTGCATTGCTCCTGCTGCTCAGTTTACTTTAGCAAATTCCATTCTTTGTTTATTTATTTTTTTTTAGCTTAGAAGCTTTGGGTATTATCTAGAAAAGATTATTGCATAATAAGATGGCGCAATCCTATTGTAGACTCATGTAAATAAGCCACATGTCAGTTCTTGACCAGCTGTAGCCGGGTAGTTGTACGGAGACGCATCATTCAGTCGTCACATCAACTGCACCAGAGTTCCAGAGATAAGGCAGGCAAATGATGCACCAGTTTTTATTTAAACTACACTATTTTTTTCATTGTACCCGCAGCGTTCAAACATGGCCGCCTGCAGCTGTTAAAGAGTTCCGTCACAGCTCGAAACAGAGCAAGACCTGCAGGACTTCCACACTTATGCTTTTGGAGGCCGTGCAACGTTCCTCATCAGCATTCAGTGTTCATGTTCTGTTCTAGACAGATTTTAGTCAAGTTTTTACTCAATGCACCGGGCAAGTGAACAATAGTTGTGATCTTTATTAGGGGCCAATATTCAGTATAAATATGCAATCGGGAGATGCTACATTGTGAGCAACAAATCTGTTGAAATTAGCAAAAAGAGAGCTAGTTAATGTTAGCTGTTAGCAGCCGGTTGGCAGCACAGGCCGGCTAAATAAGCATTTGGAAGAACTTACTTAATCAGACGGCCAAATGTTTAATCGGAGCAAATGTTGAGATTTTTTTTTTTTTTGTCCAAATCCCTAGTACCTTGTCTAAAAAAGCTTCATGTCGAGCCATGACATGTTTTCCTGATGGTCAAAGAAGTTTAATTAGTAAACATGAAAATCGATTCACTTGATGTTGAAGACATCTGTTTATAGGGGGCTTCAGATGAAACATATAGGTGTATTAGATCCTGCAAAACTCTGCACAAGGCTTGACAATTAATACATTGAAAATGCGGATGTAAAAAGCCACATTTTCTATTGTATATCTTTCAAAAATATATTTTGGTTTTCCATTTTTAATTCAAATTGTTTTAATTTAAACTCTTAGCAGCAGACAACACGCTGGACTCGGTCTACGGAGCCTTGAAGCTCCGCCCCCTGCTGCTGCTCAGAGCGCTGTTCGCTTGTTCATTCAAACGTTATTGAAATCAAACTTAGACTCTTTTGGGTCACCATCAATAGACCATTCAGGCTTGATGTAAATGGGATAAACGGTTCTCAGGATATGTGAAGGTCACAGAGACGGGCAGAAATTCCTGGCTTTGTTGTTGGATAATCCAACGGTTATTTCAATTTCTATGGGGGGAAAAACCCGACAGATTAGTTGAATGTTAGACAGGCCGGTGGGGAGAAACCTGCTGCTCTTACTGTCCTCGTGCTTTCAGCAAGTGAACAGACGAGAGATCCAGTATGCGTGCCACAGGCAGTGCGTGAGTGGTAATGGCAGCTCGTAGGATATTTGTCCAAGTTAAAGTTTTACCTTCAAGGCATTAATTTCCTTTTATGCACAAGCGTGAAGACATGCCGCGCGGTGGAGGCTTTCATCCAGACAGAAGTGGTGATGCAGGTGTTTCGTCATGCCTCACTGCTGTTTGTCACAGAATAACACGCTTGGAAGTACAGCTCCCGCCGGGTTGGAAGCGAGCTTTAATCTGTCAAAGGACTCAGCCGTCCCAGTCTGTCGCTTTGTCAATCGGGCCGGGATGCGTGTTTACATGTGGTGTCATGGCGGCATTAGTCACTAAACTGGCGGACAACTCGCTCACTGTAGCTGGTCTGGCGATGACCTACAGTTTGGAGTCCAGGTGGCTGGCCGAGCGTACCTGTTGTGTTTACAGTCCCGATGCTACACACCTGACTCTGTCTGTTTTGCCGGCTCAGCAGAGTGAAACCAAAACAGCTGCTAATGTCAGCGTGAGGGTTTGCATCCTCAAACATACTGTGTGTGTTTCTGCAGCTAAATATACTCAGGAAATGTATATTATGTATACACAGACAAATGCAAACCACTCTAAATTTGAAGTCACTGGCATATTTAATAATATTGAATAATATGCACGGATAAAACCAGCAGATCACGATTTTTGCCAATTCCAATTTTCTCTCTAAGAACTATAATTGACAGCAAGACTCCGGACTAACTTTAACGAAGTAGATTGTTCCATCCATCAAGACCGTCTGCCTTGGTAATTTAAGGCAAGGACTAAATGTCAGACATTTTTGTTGGTAGGTGAGACAGTTGCGCAACAAGGATTGCAGACTGGGTTGCTCTCTCTGCATTGATGAGTTGCGTTATGAAATATAACTCTCTAAAAATGTGTAATTTTTATACATTTTTCTAAATGTTTGTCAGCTTCTTTATGTAGACGGGTAGATATGTTTCATATTTTCACAGCAGGCATTACAAAACCTTTTATAGCACATTTGGCACCTTTTTAAACGTTAAACAAGGGAGCGCTGATCCGTACCCATTCAATGTGTAGACTTTTTATCGAATACATAAGAGACTTTTTCCTCCTGTCTCCATCTGAAATCTTTTTTTTTTTTTTTTTTTTTTTTTTTTTACTCTGCAGGGAGTCTCCAAAATCTGCCATTTAATTTCCAGGACCCATCCAGCCATAACCATTTGTCTCACACCAGGAAATGTTCATTAGGGTGTGTTGGGGACATCCGTTTGTCTCTGCGATATTAAAATGGCCTCTTGTCATCTTGCGTGAATGGACGATACATCTCCAGGTGAGGCAGGTGTTCCTCGCAGCAGCCATCGCAGCCTCTTAAGGTGATGTGTCATCAGCGAAGCGGTGCCATCGGAAAAAAAAAAAATCCCTCTCCGCTCACCTACCGCCTTCTCGCGCTCTCCGTTCTATTTGGCGAGGGCCCTGAAAAACAATCATCGCGGCCATGCGCCACTGCTTCCCATTATCAGTGTCATTTACCCACATTTGTCTTTGCGTTTCCCTTTTTCCCTCCTCTCCGTCTTTCTTCCTTCTCGTCTGCCTTTAATTGTCTTTGTCTTCCTTTGTCACTGTCAATGTTTTGCTCCGGCAGTGTTCCTCGTCCTGCCGCTTCCTCCCACCTCGCTCTCTCTCTCATTATTGCTCGTTCCTTTCTTGCCCTCTCTTCCTCGTCTCGTTACCCCTCCCTCTGTCATTTCCTCCACGTTAGGGGAAAAACTCCGAGAGCCGCTCTCTCAAGTCTCAGCCCAATCTTCATTATCCGACTCCTTCATTTTATCCACTAATAACCCATTCAACTCCACACGCTTAATCTGTGTTTACCCCCTCCCAACACGCACACACGCACACAAACTCTCACACACCCTCCTATAATCTATAATTGAATCCTCTCACACCCAGGAGAGCTGCTCTTTTTAACACCGCTGCTCTTAGTAACATGAATACACACACACGCAGAGTAGCACTGCCTTCCCCCCTGTTGGTCTAACCCTGTGCACCATGCTTACATTGTTGTAGCAATAATTCCGCGCTTTCTCTTAGCTCACATTTAATTAGCTGGACTAGTATCACGTTGTGCGACTTCTGTGTCTCGACAAGCAGAGTGGAAGCTGGGAGGGCAGTGGGAAGAGGCGAGTTGCGGTGGCACCAGTTGAACATGCACATGCTCATTGTCTCAATATTGTCTGAGGAGAACACGGCAGCCTGCACAGTTGAACCCGGGGTGTAGACTACTCCCAAACCAACGCATACATAAAAATATAAAATCTATTTGTTTATCTTAACACGCATACAAATTTGACCTAAATGCACCACCCACATGTGAAGGATCGTCATGCCTGTTTTCACGATTAAGCAAAGACTCGACGTGGAACGGTTTATGGGAAAAGTGCTCGGTTGCCAGTTTACACCCAGTTACAGCTAATGCAGTCTAATAAAACAGCCCTGCAATACATCCTACCTTTATGATTTATGCAGGATTGTTGTAAAACTGTATTAAACAGTAAATATAGCTCTACATACAGACACAGATACACTGTAAAAATGCTCCAATGCGCTGGAAACTAACTTTGCTCCAGACTGGATCAAAGTTAGGAAGGAACATGATAATCATCAGGGCACCGCAGACCTACTTACTGTGCCCCACCTCAACACATAGAGGAGAGCGCCGCTGGAGCACAGTTTGTTTTTGTATTTCTGCACGCACGGACGATATGAAGCAGCGTCTGTGTGTCTTAACTGCAGAATTGGTCCGGAGGTCTGTTCTGGTTCTTGGGCGTGCCGGTACCACCACAGTCCAACGATCATTGATTCACCCCCATCAGCGAATCTCAGCCATTTTTGGGTGTGATCGAGCTTCTCGACAACCTCCTCCTCCCCCACTTGCCTGCTTTATCGGCCTGTGGCGGGGAAGGAGAGCTTGTTGTTTACAAGATGTTTTCGCCTGTCTGGTCTGAACCACTCTCCTCCTCTCATCAGCTCTCTCACCACAGCTGGCTATTCCACATCTGCTATGATCGTTTAACTGTGATCATTGAACTGCTTTTTAAAGATACACAAAATATGTGGGTTTAGCGCCTTTTAACCATTTTCATTTCACATTACACTCCGTTAGCTTCTGACTAACCCTTTTTAGACGATAGAGTTCTTTAAGGATTATTGAAAGCATCAGTGTTAAAAGAACTCGCCGAAATGGAAAAAAAAAATCACCAACGATTTGGACAATTATTATAGTTTATTTACTACAACGCATACGATTAATATGCTCTCCTCACAGCCAACAGCAACAGTAGATGAACCTCGCTGATCATTGTAAAAGACACTACAGCTCAACTCATCAAAACTCTTGTTTGTCTTTCCACTGTTCCAACGATCACCACCTCTGGCTTCTTTCACAAGATTGGAATCAGTATTTCTTTTAAGTTACATTTTAATTATGTATTATAAGCTGCTCAGAACTAGTGGTAGGAAGCTCATGATTCCTCTGAAAACATCTCCTTCAAACTATTAAAGTTTACAGATTACATTTGAACGGATCATGATAACATTATAATTTATCTTTGCATAATAGTCATTTTTACTCATTGTGTTTAGTTGCCCCGGGCAAGTGTTTATGTAGAGCCGTGGTCCAGATCATTTCTTTCTCCTGTAGTCTAAAGAGAACATCATGTCATTGTCTCAGAGAAAGTGCATCCTATGGTGCTTTTGTTGTCCCCGATACACAAACTGTGGGTCTACATGTCCTCCTTGATGCTGACGTGTACGGTTTAAGGATGTATTCATAACAATTCACTGTGACTCTCTGTCTCCCTTGTAGGTGAAGTCAGTGAAGACGGGCTCTGTGTTCTGGGCCATCGGCTGTTGTCTCTCCTATTTCTACATGGTGAGAATACACACACGCACACACACATCTGGCTAAGGTACGAACTAACCACAGCCAGATTTGACTGGATTGAGTTGTAAGTCAAGATCACATCATGACTTGTTCCCATATTTATATTTGTATTTAGGCCTGTAATTTAACTTATTTAATACAAATATTTTAACTTGTATTCTCTGCTTTTTACACATTTTTTTTCTTATTTGATGTAAATATTTGACATGTTTTTTCGCTTATGTGTCTGTTTTACTGCTGTGCAACCCACATAAAGAGATATTGATTAAGCTCACTGAGTTTCGGTTCGGTATAATAGTTTTTCTGGTTCCGGTCCTTATCAACCTTTCTTTTCCCATTATTTGAGTAAGTGAAGACACAAAAACCTCAGCATTCATCATTAGCAACGAGGCATTTTCATTCTTGTGAAATGCGTTGACATTTCAGTCACACTTTTCCCGACTATAAAATGTATTGCAACTGTCTTTTGTAAAGCAGCTTTGGCTCTGCCATTTTTTACACACTTTGCCTTTAGGAGTAGAAAAAAGCATTTTTCTCTACAAATCCCACTTTATATGTATTTAGAGCTCCTTTCAAATTCAGATCTGGTTCTTGATAATTAACAATGCTCCTGGGATGCTAGTGTTCGGGGGCCATTGTCCTGTGTCCAGCGTTGACATGGCAAGGCATGGAAAAGGAGGAGGAGCCGTTTAGCCAGTGTCGTCTGCATTATTTATGAATTCAGGCTCAAGGCCATTGGTGGATTGATGAGAGAGATGAGATAAAAAAAGACGATCCGGGCTCACTGCCTCAGCGACTGATTGTTTGTGTTTGTGTGTGTGTGTGTGTGTTAGGGAGTGAGAGCGCCTATAATAAAAATCTCCAGCTTCTTGCTCATTCCAGGCTAAGTCTCTGTGGCCGGCAGTGAGACAGATATCAAATGAAACAGATTACCGAAATCCAGCTTCATCGATCACACAGGGCCACAGCGTCCGAGGGGGCGTGGAGAGGATTGGGAGGGGGGATAAAGGAGTGATGGAGAGATGAATAGAATAGGAGGCAAAACAGAGAATGGAGACGGGCGGAGACAAAAGGACAAGGAGGCGTGTGGAGAGATAAGCAGGGAACAGGACAGAGTGGACAGCGAGACGGAGACAAACACAGGAGGATAAGACCGTACAGAGAATATGTTGCGATGTGTAACTTCCGCGCCGTCCTCGTCAGAAGCATCGAGTCTCCATGCTTCGTTCTCCTCATTACCACTTTCTCCCCCTCTCCTCGGTGATGTGACGTTCCTCTCTACTGTATTTGCAGCCCACCCACTTTTACAGGTGAGTCCTCTAGCAGTGAGCAGCAAACTAGGCTTGTACCACCGACCTCCCAACCGCCCGCACTGCCTCCTTTTGGTCCTGCGCACAAAGTATTGCATTCACTCCTTTATCCCCATAAGCTGTCACTTTAATCAGGATACAGCCATCACAACGTTTCTCCCATCGGGCTTAATTGAATGTGACACTCGTAAAGCAGATGTGGAGACAAGACAGGGACAGATTCCATGCCTGGATATTGGCATAATCAGACGGGAGAGGACAGAGAAGGACGAGATTAAGAAGAGGATCAGAGCAGCAGGACGCTACTGATGGACAAGAGCCACAGCAACTATTTTGGTAGCTGCGCAACATCCTCCTTTCATCCCTCCAGGGGTGAGGGTGGAGCGGGAGGGAAAACAGAGGACAGAGCAAAAGCAGATCAACTGCACTGCTCATTCCCAAGGCTTTGGCTTACTTCTCTCTCTCTCTAAATCCTCCACAGTCCCCTCTAGCAAAACAACCTTTAACACCAGGCCACACCAAAATCTCCTTTGCTTAATCAAGTATTGATTAAATGCCCTGAACACAAAGCGCCTCAGGTGACTGTTAAATAGATGTCACTTTGCTTAACTTCTTAGCCATGCTAGCGGCGTGGCTCTAGGGATAAGCGATGGTTGGTCCGCCACTTTGATCTAGACTATTGGATGTACAGGCGTTCATGGTCCCCAGAGTACGAAGCCTACTATTGATGCCACCATCCAATCAAGTGTTCACCAGTGAAATATCACAACATCTACTTGATTGATATGCACAACGTTTTTCCAGAAGATGTACCCTGATGAGTTTGAAATTTGTGGTTTGAGTGAAATGTCTCAACAGCTTTTGAAATTGATTTCCATAAAAGTCGATGCAGACGTTCATGTTCCCCTCAGAAGGAATTGGAAATCTTTGACGATCCCTTGATCCTCCATTTAACGCCATCATCAGGTCAAAGTTTCAATTTCAGGACCAAATACTGAAAGACGTAAGTCAGCTGTACTTTGTGAAAAATGGGTCCAATGTCTGTAGAGTGAAAGAATCATTCATGATCTACGTTCACTTCTCCCATTGAAGTTAATGGACCCAGGACCTGCCTCTAGTCTCCTAAAAGGACGGGGCAGTGGCGAAACCCACGTGGCACAGATCCAGGAACCTGACTCTCAGTGGGGTGTCTCTGTTCTGAACGGTCTCTGGTTGAATCTAATGTAGATTCACAGCATTCTGCATTGCAACCGCAACCTTTCGGTTGACCCGTGATCATTATTGTCTCATCTTAAATTCTTAATGAACTAAAGTCACTGCTGGTGTTGGAGAGGGTTCAGTTAGTGAAGCAGAACAACATTCATTTTCATAAATAGATCCAACAAGAGCACATGGCTCAGGCTGCAAACACCTGTGCACACATAGAAATGTACACACTCACACACACACACGGTAAAACCCTTCTCCCTGTTGCATGCTGTGTTTGCTATATCCTCTTCTAAGCGGCCCCGCGGTCATCAGATAAGCCCGGTATGAAATTCAGAGAGCGATAACGGCTCCAAACATTTTCTGATTCCTGCCCTCACCTGTTAGCCTCTGGCTCGGGCAAAGGGCTGGCTGTTTAGATCTATAATTTCAAATAGAGCCTGTTCGTGCACACAGACACACACAGACGATGTGCACACATAGCTTTGGTTCTCGGCCATTCATCACTGCGTGGTCCTCCTAATGTGGCCAGATGGTCAGTATCTCCCATCTTTTTCCTCGGGTCGATTGTGCGCTCTGCGGGCTATGATCCAAACAATCGAGAGGGAAATCCGCGAGCAAGTTGCGTCGTAGAGTTTACTGAATAACAGGCGCTTCATGTCACAGTGAAGTTACCGCATTTACCGATCTCTGACTCGTGAATAGCATGCAAACACGCTGAGCTAAGAAGGTGATGGTGGTAAAGATTACTCCCACTAAACATCAACATGTTGGCGCCGTCATTGAGAGCATGTTGCCATGTTGACGTTGGCATTTGGCACCTCTGTGCCAAAGTAGAGCCTCAGAGCATGGTTGAAGATTCTTAGTCTTGTTTAGAAATGTATTCAACTTGGTGCTTGAGAACACTACATGGCAAACAAACAAAGGATGACCTCTGCCAGCTGCCTTACTAAACCCTGCTTTAACACCATTTGGAAAGTGAACTACAAATGATGTAAATGGTAAATACACCGGTTGTTGGAGTGACCATGGGAATTTTTCCATCCACTATCTTCTGTCCCTCTGACATAGTATAACCTCCCACGCGTTTGCCCAGTTGAGTACCCAACGGGGAAAAAACAAGCCTTAAAAATAATGTTGACTTTAACTCTCTGAGTCAACAATGCAGCTCAGTGACGCCAGAGAGTTTAACTGGGATGGATCGATGTTTTAAGAGGCTCTTTTTTATTAAATTTACACGGAAAGTCACTGGTGCGGTTGGCACGGTTTTTGTGAAGTAACACCTGCCATGAATGCACAAACATGCCCATCGGTTCACAGAGCTTCAGTTACAGCAGGTGACCTCGTCTTTGTGCCGGCTGTAGATTGCGGAGAAAGAAAGACATTTCTTTTTAATGCCCTATTTGTTTTTCTCTCTCTGTTATCATACATACTTCGTATAAATTGGCATGTTTATAGTTGTTAAATGAAGGTCATTTCTGTAACTCGTTCAAGTTAAAGTTCACATGCTACTAATTGGCCGTCACCATCTGAGAAAACGGATGCAAACTACCGCCAGATTATAATTGCATCTAAGCATTCAGCACGGAATTTATTCAGGAGTTTTCTTTTAACTCTCTGCCTTAATGTAGCATATTCATGTTTTTTTTTATCAATTAGACATGTGCTCAGTTTTCCCGTTTGCAGAAGTGTAATGAATGCACTTTTCACCATAACGAGCGGGTGTAACGGGGCTCTTTTCCTCTGTCTGGCTTTCTTTCCCTCAACACTCTTTCTCTATGCTCTCCTCTCTTGATTGTCTAGTGCTCTCACGGTTTCCATTTGCCCTTTGCTGTAGTCAAGTAAAGGCAATTGAACACTTGTCGATGATATTTTTGTGGAGTCGTTTTTATAGCCCCCACATCCGGTGCTGCGGTATTTAGCGGACTTCAAAAACGGTCGAGGTACAATTTTAGTACAGCTTTAAAAGTTATTGCCGCATCGAACATGTACGTGTGATTGCCTAGTTTTTATAGATTCTATATACGTCAGGTTTTTATAGCTCTGTACTTATGTCTAATAGTAAAGAGGCAGTGAGATAGTTTTACATCCCTTCTTGAATGATTCCGTTTAAGGTGGTTATGTGTATAGATTGATGCACTTTCATTTAATTGTATTGGAAAATTTTGTTCATGCAATTGTCACATATTCAGAACTTTATTTTATGTGTATATGTATACTGTATTTTGGAGCCGTAATAAGTCAAAAGCTATAGTAACTTTCAATCTCGCATGGATACACTATTGTGGCAGACTTGTTTTTTATTTTATTGCTTTTTCATTACAGAAAGATCACATACACAAAATAAATCATGAAAAGATCAGGATTGCCCCGTCTCCACAAAACCTATTTATTCCTGTGACATATTCAGTGGTTCACACTCTTATCTAGTCGTTGATATGAAAACATCGTCCGTTTCTCTCGACATCACTCCTCTTGAGCTCTTATCCTGCGAGTCAACAGTTACATTCTTACAACAGTTTTCTCTCCGAGTACGTGGTGATGTTTGTGGGCTGTCTGTCTCAAAATGATGCAACCATTCATCTTCTCTAATAGTCACACCCCACAGCTCTATATAGAACGTTGTGTTTTTTTTGTCTTCTCTCCATTGGGTGCTGATATAGAGAAATGCAGATATTAAGTTATAGTTGTAATTATTTCATCTTAATTTGCTTGATTTCTTTGTCATAAATGTCCCTTATTTGCACGTTTCTGAAGTGGTCCTGGTTGTTTGATGTATAGTTTTTGTTTCATCCATTTCGTGACAAGCATTTTTCCGATAATCCAACTGTTTTAAAATGTTTTTTTTAGTAGCTGTCGGCAAAAATGTGGGAAACCCGTTGTTCCTCAACAGGACTTTCAGGTTTCGATTAATCTCCCGTGAATGAGGCAAACCTGACATCCTTCCCGCAAAGCTGATTTGTAGCGTTTTAACGGGAAACTCTCGACTCAGCGGGGTTACCTCGTTTGAAACAAAATGAAGAATAATTGATCACGTGGGCCGGATCAATGAAGAAGACCGCTTCAGAGAGAGGACGATGTCCCAGCAGGCTGACTGACGTGTCTTATGTGTGTGTGTGTGTGTTCCAGGTGTCGGCATGGGGAGGCTATGTGTTTATCATCAACCTGATTCCTCTGCATGTGTTTGTGCTGATGCTGATGCAACGCTACAGCAGAAGAGTCTACATCGGTGAGCTACACACACACACACACACCACACAAAAGCTTTTAGTGTGCGACTTCATGTTAAAAACGTCCCCACATACAGTTGCTGAAATGGAAAGTGACTGCGGTTTCAGATCCTCTTCCATTAGAACAGAAATATACGCAACAAACAAGACAAAAAACGCTCCTCCTTCCTCTGCATCTCAACATTGCCGCCGAAGCATTTGACCCTGAAACAAGCTTAAATGCCGAGTCACGCCTGCACTCACCTCTCGCAACCGTAAGCGTTCCATCATCGGCAGTGCAGACACCCATACGCTCACACACACCACTTAACAGTAAATGCAGCCACCTGCTACCTGATCTTTTTCTATTTATTTTATTTTTTTGTGTTGTTTTTGTGTAAATACCAGAGACAGGCTTGTTATTCCTCCAAACATCCCCGGTTTCACAGACCACGCCGCGGCTCCCGCACATTTATCTGTTGGCTCGCAGAACTCGAGCTCAATCCTTCAAATTCTCCGTCGTCGGCTTAGCCGCCAACAGCCACCGCTGTTGTGGTCAGGAAAAATGAAAGCCTTGCCAAGTATCTTCTACACATGATTATATGTTGCACTCGCTGTAACCGCAAAAGCATAATCTGTGAGAGCTTTGAAAATGATTCATGGCCTCTTTACAGTGAGAGGGGCCTTGACCTACCTCTGCTCCATCTCTCAACGGTTCTTCGCCAACGAAATTCTACTTGACAATGCCGGGCCTGTTAGATGAAGTGGAAAATACCCTCCTGCCTTCATTGTTCGTCAAGGATGTCGGCAGAGCATCATCCAGCAACCCCGTGCACCTTTTGGTAGCAAGTGAGAAATGGAGAAACATATTCAGTTGACATAAAATACATTAGGTCTACAGGCGTGTCCTATTTTCCTCACCTCTCCTTCTCTTTACATTTCGCGGCTCCTCTTTCCAGCTGTCTCTGATTCACTACGAAGGAACATACGAAAAGGAGAGAGGCGAAGAAAAAAGAAGAAAATCCCGATTTAATACAATGCCTCATAGTCTATGTTCCCTCACAATGCATCTCTCTCCGCCTTGAGTCAAGAGCAGATGTGTGAGAAAGAGATAGCTGAGGGCAGTCACAACTACTTCAGAAATGAGGCACACTCTTCAGGAAGAGTATGAAATCTTAATTAAGCTGCTGCGTCTGCCAATCGATTTCGCCACCCCCCCCAGCGACAAAGGTGGGAGTTGCGCTGTTCTCTGCGTCACTGTCGTCTCACTCCAGGCCTCCCTGCAGCACCGCGCCGAGCCAGCTCCCTATTCCTCAGCAAATGACATTAGATTAGGTATTTTGTATTTACTCCCTCTGAAGTGTGACAGTGAAAATCAATAGACTTTAAATACCTCTGTTGAGGCTGATTTCCCTTAGCAGGGCCCAACCTGGAGTAGTGGAGCAGAATAGTTTCTGTGGTGCAATAGTTTATTTTCAGATTGTTTGATTTCTTGTGTGACCCACCTTCTCTCTTTACAGCTTACAGCACTTTCTACATCGTGGGTCTCGTGCTGTCGATGCAGATCCCCTTTGTCGGCTTCCAGCCAATCAGGACCAGCGAGCACATGGCCGCTGCCGGTAAGTCCCACCGCCTGTACCTCCAAGGTAGCTGATGCTGCGTTCTACTTGGAAGAACAGGTTCCCTTCTAGAAAAGTTTGAACATGAATGAGTCAGCATTTCTTGGCTCCCTTAATTTTCCAAGTTATGACTTGCGAGTACGTGACGGGACAGTCCTCAACTTTACTGTTTTGGTTCGCTCTCTTCGGACTCATTTCCTCGTGTGTGCTACCGGCCTCTGACAAAGTAGGCATCAAGTTTATGAATGCGATCATGTATTTAGCAGCTACATAAAAAAAAAAACGAGTAGCCGAATCTTTACCTTCGGAGTTTGGGGGTGAATATTGCACTGATATTCATCAGGTGGCTAGAAACAAGACTGCTAAATAGTGTTGCTTTCTGTCAGTTCAACGCTAAATAGCCAACTGTTTGCCATATCAACTTAATTAGGTGATAATGTATGTTAATATATGTCAGTGTTGTGTTTACAACTTGTTACTCAGCCAACAATTGGCCAAGAAAATCTATTAATGCAGGTTTAATTCTACATTTGTCTCTAAAACACAGACTTGTTACAAAGCACCTTAAATTACATTGAGATTGATCGTATTTTAACACTGAATTCTGATTAAAAGTAACTGGGGCAGACTCTGGTTCTCTACAAAGACACATTAATACTATGCAGAGATTGCATTTCAGAGGCTTGATGTTTAGTTCCTCTGACCTGCCCTGAACCCTGCCACACAAGGGAAATGTATTGTTCATGTATTAAAGGTGTGACTTTACATAAGCCGCTCACTTGTTATCCAAAGCACCTTACGGTACCGTGGATGCACACACTTTAAGGTTGTTTGGCTGCGGCGGGAATTGAATCATCCCCTCCACCGACGCCGTTAGTCACGCTCCGTGTGCAGACGAACACAGGACCCTCTCAGAATATATTCACAAAATAGAATTAAGTAAGCGACTTCACAAGCCGCCCATATGGGTTTAACACTGTAAGTACTTTTCGTTTTGGCTCGTGGGTAGTTTATTAAAGCTTGTTCGGTTTTTCGCCACTCAAGAGTGGGCCCATCTGCTGCCTGACGGCACGGATGGGTGCGTATGTACGCGCATGGTTCCTGCGTCCGTGTACATCCAGATTGGGAGAGGACTGTCGCTGGCAGCTTTAGGAAGCCGAGCAGCACCTTTTTGAAAATTTTCTTAACACTGCAGCAGGCTTACGTTGAAGTGTCCCTGTTTTCCTGAGAGTCTACAACACAAACAGAATTATGAGAGGCTTTGAGAAAATGCACCACAAAAATAAATAAAAAATCTCTCTCTCCGTTTTTAACTCCCTGCTCTCTCCGAGTGTCGCTGGGGTAGCAGCTGCTCAGAACATCTGGTGGTGGCATTCAGGGAGCACAGCGGGAGACGAGGAAGAGAGCGACGGAGCCGCGGACCTGTCGGTACCGCTGAGACGTCGGCCCCTGAGGCAGGCAGGCAGGCAGACAGACAGACAGGGTGGCACAGACTGACAAGCACGTTAGCGCCACGGCGGCTCTCCGGGAGACAGACAGGGGCTTAACCTCGGAAATGGGTGAGACCTGCTGTGGGCGGTGGTGGCGCTACTGGAGGGGTAAGGCGATTTCACACAAGATTTGTCAAAGGATGGGAGGTGACGAAAGCGAGAGCAACCAGACCTCTTTTTAAATATTTGATATCGTACTCGCCAGACAAACTGAGAAGACGCACCGGAGAAAAGGGCGCTGAGAAAGTGACAGAGCAAAGGAACGGAGGAAAGAAGAAAAGAAGATATCTAAAGGGGGGGGGGGGGACAAGGCTCTGGAAAGAAAGGCGTTTTTACGCAAACCTGTCTCATGCATTTGAAATATGTTGTCCCACAGTATTTGTCTTTGACACCTGCATGAACAGCCGAAGGGGCTACCGCGAACGGCTATGTTGAGAATTCTGCCGAACCGACAGCGGCACTTCTTAACCACGGAGAAAAAAAAGGCCGTCTTGGTGCCCTGCAGGAGACGAGATGAATCAGGGCCTCCTCAAATATTCAGTGTGAGTTTCCCATGTATGTTTGCTCATTCTTTGCTTTCTGCCTGTGGCTTCTTTCCCAGGTGTGTTTGCACTTCTCCAAGCCTACGCCTTCCTGCAGTACCTGAAGGACCGGCTGACCAGACAGGAGTTCCAGACACTCTTCCTCCTCGGAGTCTCTCTTGCAGCCGGCGTGGTCTTCCTCACCGTCATCTATCTCACTTACACAGGTCTTTATGTTCGCTCACACGCTTTCTCAGTTCACATCCATGGAGGCCGTCATTTATTGTATTCTTTGGTCCTCGTAAGTCGAGCTGAAACAATTGATTACTTGGTTGACAGAATATTACTCCATGCATAATAATCAATTAAGTCGCTTATCAAGCAAAAAAGCCCCAAAGATTTGCTTCCAGCTTTGCAATGTAGAGTATTTGCTGCTTTTTTATATGTAATGTCATTTAATATTGAATGTCTTCAGGATTTATACTGTTAGTCTGACAAAACAAGCAACGTGAAGACATATCCTCGGGTTCTACGAAATTGTGCCTAAATGAATTGAAAAGTCAATAGATGAATTTCTAAAAATAATATGATCATTTGTCGGAGTCGTCCTTATAAGCACGTATCATCAGTACCAATATCATGGCTTAGCAAGTGGGGAGACTTCTCATCAAACATGTTACTGAACAGCTAATGTATTGTTTAGTACCGTACTATCCTTTTCATTGATTGGCTTTTACAGATCTCATTATAGTTTATAGAAATCAGATGCAAATGGAACAGAAATGGAAAATGTATGAGGAACTATTTCTCACCGTCACTGAGAGATTCAGTGACAGAAACACTTTGAGTGGACCCACATTGATTGTAAGGAGTTGCCGTGAGCGGTTGCATTGCAGCCTGTTTAGCGGCTGTTGTCTGCAGCGTTCACCTTCAATATTGAACCATTTTGAAAAGTTGTTGTTCCCATTAGTCACTTAGACACAAAAGCATCGGTACATAGGGTTGAAAAATAACAAAATGTAACTTTAAGCCAAACTAATGCCAACAAAAAATACATCTAGCGTGTCCTGGGTTTATTTCCTGTTTCAGTCTTCAATGTCGAGATATAATATCGTTATTTTCATATTTCAACGGTAATGTTTCCTGCCCGTCTAAAAGAAATTACCCTGAATTTGGCTGTGATTTGGTGGACGAATAGCCTTTTGTGGAAGGATCAGTTGACGACATTTTTTAAATGATAATCCAGATCTGGGATTTCAGCCATTTTAAATTTAGTTTTCTTTATTCAGCCAAAAGTTACAGTGTGTTCATACACTGTTCCCCGATGGTCTGACCTCCCGGCCCTCCCCGGTGGGCTGCCAATCAGCGTTTGGTTTGTCAGAAAATGAAACCTCGGAAGGCAAATGATGAGCAAATATAAACTGATACGGATGCAAGTGGGAGAGCGTCTGTTGGAGGAGTGTGCTCTACCGAGGGCCTTTCCGTGGAATCATTTCTGTTGTTTTTGGTCAGCCTGCTTGAACCCTGATGCGCACAGCCGGCTGCTTTAACTTTGTCCTCGTTAATGTTTTCCTCCATTATTTTCAGCTCTGCCTGCTTTCCGACCTTTCAAATGTTGCCTCCTTGCCGTGTATTGATTTTTATTTGTCTCCAGCTGAAGTGTTGAGATTTAAGATGACGCAGCCTATAGCTCTTATTTTGACACCGGCTCTGCTCCTCTGATCTAGCGGTTCATTATCTCAGACTGGTCTCAAGGAAGAAGCCGGTATAGCTTTTTAAGAGGAGCGCTCGCTCCTCCCCTCCGGCTGTATAGGCACACCTTTTCAGTAGCGTGTAATGAGCCTCAATAAAGCATGACTGCTTTTTTTTTTACCCGACATAATATATTGGCTTTCTCACCTTGATTAAGGCAGCAGATTATTTACTTGCCTTAACCAACAATCTGTCACTCCAGATTATGTAAACACGACAGCCAGGCCGTCTGCCCGATGGCACATCGCATCTGCAGTAACATTGGCGTCCTTAGATTGGTCGTCCGCCCGCGTTAGAACCCATTTGGAGGCAGACGTCCCGTGAGGACCCCTGACTTCAACTGGACGTCTGGTAAACGTTTGCGATGCGTCGGCCAACTGAAGGCAGCAGAGGGAGTAGATAACTGTTTGGTGATGTGCCAGTTTCCCAGTGAAACTGCACATGTCCTTCTCGGTTCTGTCGGACTTTTTCATCTCATAACAATCTCTGCAGCAGAGTAGCCGGGTGTGTTTTTTTTCTCCTCTTGAACACGGAGCCAAGTATTGATCGGTTAAATCAGTGTCATCCTATAAATCAACTCTCAAGAATATCTCCTTCATCCCACTTTCACTCCTTCTTCTTATATTGTTCTTGCCTGCTTCAGTTCAGCGCTTTGTGGCATCTTATTTACAAGCGCTCTTATTTTATTTATTTATTTTTATATTTTTATGATGGTTTTTGATTAGTTCATCATTAATATTCAACAAATTAGCCACAATCTCTCTCGAGGAGCATCAAAGGACTCGATATAGCTACATGTTGGTGCAAATATGTCACAAGAGTTGAGATGTGGGGCCGCGGCTTTTGTTTGCGTTGTCTGTGCACATGCAGTAGGAGTGTGTGAGTGGCTGTGAGAGCCCCCAGGCAACAGTGGAGAGCTGAAATGTATTCCACATCAAAGCCGAACCAAAATAAGACATTTGTATGCGTGCCTAAAATGCCCTATGCGGTCTAATTTGCAGCTTAAATGGTTTCAGTTAAATTTATAAACAAGTCAATTCAAGTAATTACGCAGCATCAATAGAATACATTTTCAGCATCGACACGTTTTCTTTGGTTTTTCTTAGAGGGAAATTGATGTTAAAATGATCACAAATCTGTAGAACATGATGCAAATATTTTAAATAAGATTAACAAATGTGCACAACCCTTTGTGTGTAATTTTGGGCATTAAGAAATGTCTGCTCCAATCTTCACACATACAGTATTCCATGTAGGTCATAAACCCCTGAATAGAGAAACGACTTATTGCAATCCGTTGACAGATGTAGATGACATTATGCTTTTTATCCAGGAAAGAGGCGGCTCCCCTGGTCTCTTGCATTTGTTTAAAGGCCAGTCTGCTCCAAGACGCTGGCAAAGTTGACTTATCGCCGCAACGGGCTGAAGGGGCCAATGCGGCGTCGATGTGTATTTGGTTTTCACAGCAAAAGAACACGTCCACCACCCAGCAATAGCATATTAATAAACCTTACATGTCCATTTATAGGCTACTGTATAGAAAATATAGTTGATAAGTGTGTTTTTTTTATTCGAGGGCTGATGAGCTATTCTGTCTTTTTAGAATTTCGAGAATATTCTTCAAATCAGAATTACACACGATTTCACCAAAATCCCAGACGTCCCAGTTTTCCCCCAGCAAAGGAAAAACAAATGGAAATATTTTATATTTGTTTTTATATATTTTTCCCGTGACCTGTAACAACCTTAATCTCGCCTTTACATAAACATCGTTCAACAAACTTCCTGCACGCCTAGCAGCACTCGTGTTCCAAGGCTCGAGTGGTGAAACACGAAGACACCGAATGTTGTATATTTCTGTATTGATCGTCTTTTCTTTCCCCAGGATACATCGCTCCGTGGAGTGGTCGTTTCTACTCTCTCTGGGACACCGGGTAAGCTCTGCTGACCTTCACACTCTCGCTGTCGATGGAACACTTGTTCAGTCGAGCCCCCCACCCCCCCTGCACCATCCCAGAGGGGGCAAACAGTACAGCCCGGCCTCTGTGTTTAACTATTGTCTTACTTTCAAACAGCACCAGGCACCCTGTGTTCTCCGAATGCTCTGCAATGTGTTTGATATTTCAGCACACCCAATCAATCCCCCCCCCACTCCCCACCCTGTTTGCTGACTGAAGCAGTATGGGATAGTTTTTTCTTTCCTCTGGAGGCTCATACTAATTTCTTAATGTGCTGTGTGTTTTCTCTTACCCAGCTGTACTCACTAAACACTCTGGTGAGAGATATTTAAAGTAGAAACTGCTGTGTAAAAGTCCCGCGATGAATAAAGAGTGAACACGCAGATCAGAAAAACATTTGTTTTTTTCCCCCTTCATAATTCTGGAGTTAATCAGGAGGATCTAATGTGTAATTTGTCTGAACACTCCCAACATGACTAACATCCCGCCCGTGTCTCCCCTTCTCATTCCTCTCGCCGTCTCCAGCTACGCCAAGATCCACATCCCCATCATCGCGTCGGTGTCGGAGCACCAGCCGACGACGTGGGTCTCCTTCTTCTTCGACCTCCATATCCTGGTCTGCACGTTCCCAGCAGGCCTCTGGTTCTGCATCAAGAACATCAATGACGAACGAGTGTTTGGTAGGAGCGTTTTGTTTGATTAATGCTCTCAAAGCTTTAAATTGAGTTACATTACTCACCTCTCTCCTTTAATGACGTCGTCAGTGTTACTTAACATGTAAACACAGGACCCTCCGAGGTTATGTAGCAATCCTATAGGTTTATGCCAGCAAATTAGATTATTTATATTTTCATTCATGTTCAATTTCTTTCACAGAAGTCATGTTTATGGCCATGCAAGCAGTGTGACTAACATCATTTAAAGCTCTGTGATTGGATTTACCACAATGCACAGTGGGAATTGGAGTTGGCTTCCAACCTTATGCTTGCATGTACTGAACACAGGCTGAATTTCTTTATCAAATATTCTAATATTTTCTCACACGGTTGTTTTTTTTGTGCTGATGATCGAACCTAGAGAGTTTGATATTCATATCAGACTTGAAAGTGCCAGTCTGTCCGTCACTCTGTCATTTCTTATCAGTTTTACTGATGTAGTCCTTTAATCTGTAATTGTCGACGTCATTTATCTGCTTTATTAAGTGAGAGCTATAATACACATGCACTATTTCTAAACAGTTTGTAATAAGTCAAATTAAGAGAGTGTAGAGATCCGGACTCGTATCCCTGGATGTGAGTGAACGCCTACTGGTTTAGGAAACATCCTCATTATAGTATCGTCCTTGTTTCCGATATTGTCACGCTCACTCAGCTTCCCCTCTGCCTGAAAGAAAAACACTCAAACAGAACTTTTGTTTGTACGGAGTAAGATCAAGGGCAGAGGACCTTTTGAGCGCGAGAAGAGTTTTTCAGCAACCTGTTTCTCCCTCAGACTTAATCAGCCAATTACAGCTATTGATTAGCCATGCACCTGTTGAGCCGGGTCGGCGCTTTTCAAGGACGGAGGAAAACAGCCAGCGCTCTCTCTCTCCATTTAGGGTTTGAGCTCGACACAGACTGATGATGCTGCGTTACAACTCAATTTCTCGTCCTCGCAAACACCGGCCCTTTCCCTCCGTCCTTTACATTCACACCATCTTTCTCCTCGTCTGACCTTTGTCTACTTTGTTCTCCCCCCCCCCCTCCCCCTCCTGTTTTCATTCCAGTGGCCCTGTACGCCATCAGCGCCGTCTACTTCGCCGGCGTGATGGTGCGTCTGATGCTGACACTGACGCCGGTGGTGTGCATGCTGTCTGCGGTGGCTTTCTCCAGCGTCTTTGAGCATTACATGGGAGACGACACGAAGAGGGAGAAACCACCCGCTGAAGACAGCAGCGACGAGGACGACAAGAGGAACTCTGGGAATCTTTATGACAAGGTCAAGACGGGACGGAATGATCGTAGAAATTTGCATCAAATAAGAAAACATCACTGACTGTACAGACCGTTGCAGTTTGGATTCATCACTTCCATCTCTGTCAGCTTCCCTCACTCCCCACCAGTTTAGCCTGCCAGTTTGAGTAAACTGTGATTCAGCTGCAGCTGTTTGATGCTGTTCTCATAATTTGAGCCGTCTCACTTGGTGGAGTGTTAATCCGACTGCTGTCTTTGTCTATTCCAGTCCACCTCTTAATCACGTTTCATGTGTTGCCCACAAATAGCCGTCTCTGAGAAGTGTTGCCGAGATATAAAAATGTAGCTTGTGCAACAATTTTGTGAAAGTAACAGATGCTTTAAAAAAAAAAGACAAATTTAAGCCAATTTTTAAACACCAAGATGTCAATGTTGGACGTCTGTTTATGGTGACGGGGCTTGTTACACATCGTTGCTGTCCTGTGCTGGTGGGGAAAAAGCTGTGATGGACATTTTGGATAAACTTGTAAGCTTTGCTGTTACTGCAAGCTGTATACAAATTTCACACAATGTGATACAAATTGTGATAAATATTTCTGCTGATAGTTTAAAAAACACATTGGAAAAAGTAGTTATGTGCCAATAATAGAGGAATAGAAGTCTGCAGGCTGATATAAACAATGCAAGTTTTAAAAAAAAATAATGGTTCTGAGGTCAGAAATAGATACATCATTGAGATTACAGAGTTTTGAAACTAATATTGAATGTATTTGATTATTATCAAAGTAAAACATTATATACAACATTTACAGTGAAAATTCGGGTACAAAGTAAAAAACAAACAAACTAGAAAACACAAAAATGGGAGAAAAAGGTACATTTTGGCCCGGCACACAACCTTCTCGCATATCTTTTATCAAGCTATTAATCCAATGTCATCAACCTCTCATGTTCGTGGAAGGTTTAGAGTTCACCAAATGTGCCCCCTATAGTAGTTATGAATTGTCTGTTAACCTTTATTTGAAGTTTTTATTTCTATTAATATGCCCTTTACAAGACAGAACAAATAACTATCACACCACAGCAAGACCGTTGTGACACACACACACTAATTAAAACAATCACAAATATTATCAAAGATATCAGCAAGTACGTCTGTATCATTCCAACAGTAAGGGGCAGAGCTCTACCCACATCTATCTTCGCTCACTTTTAGCCTCAGTTTAGGTGTCGCAGGATGTAACTGGAGGTGCTGGAGTAGGAAAAAATTTCACATTGTGCAGATTTCTTCCCCTCCAGACTTTTTATAGCCTTAACAATTCTCTGCTGTGAGTGTGAAATGATTAACTCATCCCGAGGTTCATCTCACAATCCTCAGTGATGCATCAAACAGTACAGAAAACATCAGGATGATGTAAGATACTTTGCCCAATTAGTTCATTCAACGATTTAATCCACTCAATAATTCATCTCCCCGAAAACTCTGCAGACTGTTTCCTGTCCGTCACCACAGTGTTTGTCTCCCCCCGCAGGCCGGTAAGGTGCGCAAACACGTGTCGGAGCAGGAGAAGGCCGAGGAGGGTTTGGGCCCCAACATCAAGTCCATCGTCACCATGCTCATGCTGATGCTGCTGATGATGTTCGCTGTCCACTGCACCTGGGTCACCAGCAACGCCTACTCCAGTCCCAGTGTGGTGCTGGCCTCATACAACAACGACGGGTACGCATCACGCGCACACACACACACACACACACACACACACACACACACACACACACAC